GTTGTTATTGATGATGGATCACTTGCATACATGTATTAGTGAGGTTTAAAATAAGATGTATAATGATGAGTCTAAGATTTTCATAATTGATATTAAATTGAAAGGAATTCATTAAAGTTCATATTGACAAAAATATTCTAGCATGCAATTAGTGTAAGCTACAGAAGATACAAATTCTTACAGAATATTGTATATTGCAAGTCATGTATAATTTAAGAATATATGAAGTATATGGAATATTAAATTCAAGTAAAGAATGGCTATTCTATGATATGATGTCTGCAATATTAGGTGGGCAAAAGGGACCCAAATAAGAAACCTGTATTGCAGATGGGGCAAAAGGGACCACAAAGGAAATGAATACCTGTATAGCAGGTGGGGCAAAAGGGACCCCTAAAGAGGCAAAATGGACCTCGATGTAATTCAATGGCGATAATGCTAGGTTTACCTGGGCTCCATTGATTATGATTATGAAAGTATAGCCAAGTCTTTTACTGGATGAATTTGATATTCAATGCAACTTCGAAAGAAGTTAAGACTAATGTTAAAGATGATATTATGATATTTGCAAGGTAAGTTTTGTCAAAGATGGTTTTAATGATTTGATAAATTACAATTATTGTATTTTAATTGTTAATCAACTTGTATAGTTTACTGAGCCTCATAGCTCATCAGTATTTCCTTACTGGTTGTTGTTACAGGAAAAAGAAAAGAAAAGATCGGAGACGACTAATTGCAAGTACTTAAATATTTCATGTTAGTTTTAAACCTGTTTGTAAAACTAAGTTTAAGGTATGTTAACCTTCTAATGAACTGTTACTTTAGATTTCTATAATGGCTCTGTAAGTATCTTATGTTGAAACTTAAAGTTATTAGTTGCTTCCGTTTGATGAGATATATGATAACTGAATTGTGAGATGTTTTATAAGCATTATCAAATGTACAAAAGTATTGTATGATTAAATAAATGAAAAGTCTATATTAGTAATAACCTCTGTACTGTTAAGGAGTACTATGGGGTGTTATAAGCCCACTATCGATCAGCACCACCTCTCTGTTAGCTATCTCTCCCTTCACCTTCATGGTGTGATTCGGGGTGAATCCCACCACAGAGTTCAGAGAGATCTTTGCCATGTCCAGATGCATCTTTTCTTCTTCCTCCTCCTCGTCTCATCTCCCTCCTCAACTTCCTCATCATCACAGATGGTGAGAACCTGAAGACTTCGGTCCTTACACTCGTGCCCCAATGTGTACTTCTCATCACATCTGAAGCACAACCCCCTTATTGCTCGTTTTTTCCTGCAACAACTCTTTGAACTTCTTGAAGTTCCCCCCAAATCCACCTCCTCTAGACTTCTTCCTTGGGGCTTCACGCAGATCTCCTGGTGTGGGTCCCTTAGGAGCTAGAAAAGCGGTGTTCATCCTGTATGATCACCCCGAACTACTTCCTCTAGCTCCCCTCTCTAGATACTTTTGGTCGTCTACCAACTGTTCCAGCTTCATGGCCTCCCCCAAGTCACGTGGCCTCATCACTCCAATAACTGCTTAGACTCTGGTTTGAGCCATTTCTTCAAGTTCCCCTCTAGCACGGTCTCAGAAAGCCGATCTAGCCTACTAGCTAGGTACTCAATCCAATCATGGTACTCTGCCACGATCCTCTCCTACATCAGGGCGAAGAACTGCTCATAGAAGTCCCCTCTCCTACTAGTTTGGAAACATTCTAGTAAACAATCATTGAACTCTCTTCAACTCCGAATGGGTTGCCTCATATCCCTCAACTGATACTAGGCCAGTGCCTTCCGTTCCAAACACAAGCCAGACACTGTCAATTTCTCCTCCATCAGCTTGTTGACCGCAAAGTACCTATCTACCTTGTAGATCCACTCATGTGCATCCTCGCCCTCAAAGATGGGCATCTTCAGCTTCCTTACTCTCAGGTCTCCCCCATTTCTCTTGAATCCTCTATAGCCACCCATTCCTAGAAGAGGCGGTGCTCCCCAAGTGTTATGCTCTTCCCTTCAGTGCTCAAACCCAATTCCTTCTTCAAAATCCCCTCACCTCTTACAAAATCAACACCCCAGCGATCGTAATCCTCCCTTATTATTGCAAAATCAGCACTCCTTCGTTCGTACTCAACACTTATTTCCTCCTTAGAAAGTGGTTCTAGCGGCGGCATCCCATGTACTCTATCCAGAATCTCCACTTCCGGATTTTCCCTTCCCCTGAACGGGTTTGGGTTTCCCTCTCTCCCATGGCCGCCGGTAGTTTCCTTTGCTTTAGATGTCGCCGGATTGGGCTTGGCTTCAAGCAGCTTCTTCAACATGTCTTCCACTATGGCAAATCTTCCATTCATCTTTTCATGGATGGATGCGAATTTGTTCTAAAAATAAGAAAATTTTTCCTCAATATTTAATTTTAGTTTATATAATTCTCCCTCCAAAACTTTCACTTTCCTTCCAGCCATTGATACCCCTTAGATCAACATGATTTGATACCAATTTGATAGAAAATAGCCACCAAAATCAGAGAAAACTTCTGAATTTCTCTAAATTTCAGCAAGCACAGTGCAGATTTTTGTAAAATCTGTAGAGTAAAGGGAAGAAGAACACTTGAAATTCAATAATAGAAGAAAAAGAATAATCCGATACAATGAATCTTCAATTCGAGAGGAAGATTCATCTCTCCAAATATCTAGCCAAATTCTAGAGCCAAAAATCCAAGCAAAGATCTCAAATTCAGATTTCAAATTCAAGATGCAAGCCTAACCCTAGCAAGAAGAAGATTATTTAAAGCAAAAGGACAATTCATTGATCGCTAAACAACCCATAATTTGAAATTTCCCTCCTAAACAAAGCCTTCATTATTGTGTGGGCCCCAATCATGCTTCCGCCCAAGCCTAGCTTCCACCCCCCTTGTTTCCGTCTCCTGTCTCCTGTACACCTGAACCGACCGGCCCTTGGGCCGGTCTAATAGAAACCTTATTTGGTGTGGGAGATGGGCATTGTTTTTCCCTTTCCCACGATGATTTGTTGATATCACTTGTTTACTTGTGGATTGAATAGTTGAATGAAGTCAACTGTAAGGTGAAAGTGCACCCGATGTTCAAAATCTTGTTATCTATGGGCTCTTATGGGGCAGCTAGCAATGCCTGCTACGGGCTTGGTGCGGTTGGTGATGTCTGATCTATACTAGCAACATGCAGTCAAATGCCCATATTTAAAGCATATTAGGCATTCAGTGGCTGAGAAAGCTGTACTTCCTACATTGAAAAGCTAAGAAGTATGACATCGTCTGTTTGGGTGGTGTTCCTCCGTGCTGAAATCATTATCCAGAGCCTTCACGTCCTCATCCTCTCAGTGCAGAAAGTTCAATTTGATTGTCAGGTTATTGTAATAGGGTGTTTTCTTTCATTGCTTAGTTGTCTAGATTAGTTTCTTTGCTGCTGAGCAGTGAGTATAGATTATCCATGACTTAGAGGTTGAAGCTTAATAATGATGGCAGTCTTGAATGCTTGGAATGGTGGTGGTAGGCCATCAAATGTGTACAGGATTATGCCTTTTACGTCTGAGGAAGAGCCAACTGCTGTGATACAATTTACTTTGTGGCCTTTATGTTAGACAGTTATTGGGTCATGGTCCTACTCTTTATGGAGAAGTCGTGTAATTCAATTTTTGAATTAAATTACTTTGGACCTATTTGTAGATTACATTCATTTGTTCATAATATTCCAGATTTCTCAATAGGAATTTATATTAAGGACATAAGGAAGGAGAGGGAGAGAAAAGAGGGTATAGAGTTGATGCAAGGTTTTGATCGACTAATATGTAGAGATTGTATACCAGTGAGCCTTCGTTGTGGAAGATCAACTATTGGCTTGAAATAGCTTGAAACTTGAGATCTCAAGGTAGGGTGATTTTCAGTAGTTTACTGTGTGTGAATGATGCTCTTGATGTTTGACATTAAAAAAGTTGAGATGAGGGGGTATGGGGTTTTCTCCCATTTTGGCTGAAGAGCGATTCTTCGGCTTGGTGATGGATGCAGAGGACTTCTCTATGTTGAGAGGGCTTATAGGATGCAAATAGGATGGTGATGTCATGTAACTTATGGTCTCTGATACCACGAAGTTGTCATTGGAAACAAGTGAAGCAACTAGAGACCGAGCAAAAGTTTGAGCTAGTATATGAGAAGAGAACCATATCTTATTTCACTGTTTTCAAACATGTGAATAATCTGGATACAACTATACATACTTATACTAATGGATACATTGGTTGGTTATGCCATGACAAAGAAGGTTGAGGTTGGACAACTGGGATTGGATGGGTTATTTTTCAGGCACGGTGAAGATGAATTCATACTGGTAGTGGCTGCTGCTGTGTTAAGGACTGCCACAGGAAGAGAAGGTTGTAATTGGGAGAAATGATGAGGCCAGCCGTTTTTATATTATCTTATTGAAGGTTACCTGGGTGAGAGAATAAGATTTAAGCTAAAAAAGGTGGGGTGGAGTCTCTTTTTTTTTACCTATTAGGTAGGTAGGGGACGGTTGAAGTGGAGGAATGCATCGGGCTTGTTGTGTGATAGAAAAGTCCCCCTCAAACTTGAGGAAAAATTCTATAAGATGGTGGTGAGACCTGCGATGCTTTATGGTGCAAAACGTTGGCCATTAAAAGAGAAGCATAATACTAGGTAGGGGATGGCGGGGTTAGCGATGATTTGGTGGTAGATAGTTGCATTAATTGGCTAAATGGATGCTTCAAGTTCTTATATGTAGATCATGCCCGTCCACACTTATGCACTATGCCTTAATCATGTATGCGCTATGTTCTGATTATGAAGTTGCAAAGGTCTGTAACCATAGCATTTAAAGTTGCTAATCAATAAGTTCTCATCGTGTACTTTTTAAACTGTCTCTTCTTACAATTTGATTTTAATTTTTTTGCCCTTCGCTGTCTATAATTATGTTAACTACTGGTGCTCACTCTGCAGTCATTGATTTTCAGATGCTTTTGGAGAGAATGGGAGAGAAGCTGAAAATGGATTTCCTGCTATACCTACCAATTCTGAATTGATAATTGATCTTGAGCTTCTATCCCTAAACCCTGTTCTTGATGTTACTGGTGATTTGAAGGTTTTGAAGAAGATTTTGAAAGTGGGAGAAGGTATTCGTAAACCTAATGATGGGGAGGTTGTCTGGGGTAAGTCCATTTTTTAACCAGTCTGCTTTCCAAACATGTTATGGTTGCATAGATGTGCATGATAGTATGGTATTATTGGCTGTTTTTTTTATTAAACACAGTTCATTTTTTTTGGAATAATGTTGTTGACTAGAAAATTTTGAAATCTATGCTGATTGAAAGGGATAGTGGTTAAATGCAACTGACCTGAGATAATTCCTTAGTTCGGTATACTGCCATGTTGGAAGATGGAAAAATTTTCGAGAGGAAGGGGTTTGACGAGGTTCCCTTTGAATTTGTTATAGATGAAGGTTGGCTGATTCCTCTACGGCTTCTTTCTCAGCTGCATTGCTTTTCTTAGTTTATATGGAAAAAAAAACGTACTAGTTTTATGTGATATAACTGTTCTCATTGATATGGTATATAGAGCAAGTCATTTCTGGTCTAGATCGAGCAGTAGCAACGATGTTGAGGGGTGAATTGTCACAAGTGACAATAAAACCAGAATATGGTTTTAGAAATGAAGTCAAGCAAGGTGATATGCTCGTTCCTGCAGGATCAACTTTATTGTATGAAGTGGAGCTGGTAGACTTTACAAAGGTAATATTGTACCTAACCTGCTGGTAGACTGGCAAATTAGAAGTGTATTCATGCACTGATTTGCGTCATATTTGGTTTCAGGAAAAGGAAACATGTGAAATGACTGGCCATGAAAAGATTGAATTTGCCGAGAGGATGAAAAAAGTGGGCAATGATCTGTATAAGATTGGGAAATTTCAGCGAGCTGCAAAAAAGTATGACAAGGTAGCGTAGTCCCAGGTTAACTAGAATGGATCGTTTTTTATTGATTTGTGGATAACCTTTTTTCAGTGATTTGGTATGCTCTCTCAAATGCAATGAACTTTTATTGTTAATTTAGATACTTGGTTTCCTTGCCTTCTGGAAGAAATGAACTGGTGTTATTGCTGTCAGGCCATAGACTTTGTTAACGAAGTTGAGTCATTTGAGAGTGGTGAAGAGAAGCTAGTTAAAACTTTGAGAGTTTCCTGCTGGTTAAATCATGCCGCATGCAGCCTTAAATTAAATGACTTTCATGGAGCGATCATGCAATGTTCCAAGGTAAGATTCTTTTTTTTTTTTTTCATAGAGCGATCATGCTATGTTCCATATACAACTTTTCCACCTTCCAGGTACTTGACATTGAATTCTGCAACGTGAAAGCTTTATATAGGAGGGCTCAGGCACATATAGAAGCTGCTGACTTGGACTTGGCTAAATTGGATATTCAGAAAGCCCTAGAATCTGATCCAGAGAATAGGTGACTTTTGCTCTAGAATTATGCTTTAAATTTACTTAATGGACTAAGACTAGTAAGTTCTATCTTTCATAAGTTTTCACTTGCAGGGAGGTGATATCACTCCAAAAAATACTTAAGCAACGTCAGTTAGAGAACAATAAAAGAGATGCTAAGATTTTTGCTAACATGTTTGAACGGATGCGAAAGGATACTGATGTGGCACCTAAGGTAATTTATGGCTTTCTTGATGTAAACTATTGCTTTCTTTGGTAACATATTTTGCTATGACTATATATATGGAATTTTTTAACCAAAGTGGATATCAAATTAGATGTAAATATATTGTTTTGTTATGTTAAGCAATAATTTGTCGTTCTACGTTATTAAATTACAAACTTGAATTGCGCTGTGAATGAAGTTCCTGTACACCAATTTGAATCACTGATTCAATTGTAAGAAAGGACATCAGCGGCTGCTTCAAAATTATGATTTTTCGGTCATGTTAAACATTTTGCATATAAATATTTTTATAGTTATAACTTTTATTAAGATCGTGGAGTGCTACTGTTGCTATATAGCAAATGGTAGTTCTTGGTCCTTGGGATGAAGAAATTGAATTTATTCACTGTTTTGAATGAATTTGGTTGTGCATTAACTGGATTTCTTGGTATGGGGTGGTGGAAGCTAGCTTGTCCATAAATTGGATTCCTTGGTTTTGATGGTGGCTATTTGGCTTATCCGATAAGAATTTAAAAGCAATCGAATTTCAAGTTGCCAACATCTCTTCTGTGATCACATAGCCATGGGAGATGTAGAAATATAACACGTTGACATTGAAAATAAATTAGCTGATATCTCTACCAAACCCCTAAATTATGACTTTTTAAAAGAACTTATGACTTGACTTGGTGTTATTGATATAAGTGCTTAGTAATTTGGGGTCATTGGATGCTATGATTGATGTTTTTCCTTTATGTTTTTATGTGTTAGTATTTGAGACATCTTATTTACAGTTTGAGTTTGAGTCAATTGTCTCTTTTATAATGTTTTTATAATTTTTGTCAAAAAAAAAAAGTGTGAACATGTACTTAGGGAATTTTCTTTGATCATGACAAACAATACTAAAATTCTCTATTCATCATAATATATGATTACCGACATACTATATGATAAACATCAACAAGCACACATCAGCCATTCATTTGAAACTAATAGCTAAGATTAAATCAGTTGTGGTTTGTACCATACAAACACTCTATCATACTGTATGAATGATATAACATAAATATTGTTGTAATCTTAAATTTAATTACTGTGATCCTTAATTACTTATCATAATGTATGAACACCTACTCTTATTGGATGACCCATTTAGTTAATGATCAAATAAAGCCCCTCAGGATGAATAAAAAGAAGAAGATTATACTATACATTCCCTGATCATACTGGATGATTTAATCATGTCTTTGTACTATTTAAACAGGATAATTTGTTTTCTTTTAATCATAATGTATGAGATAAATGATACGATGAATAAGTGTAACGGGAAGTTAGATCGATATAATTGGTTATAGTAGGTCTTAGTGGTTTACAAGTAAATAGTGAGTATCAAACACTTAATAAGTAGATAATGCGCCTTACGAGTCTTTGTAATCCTATAAATACTTTCCTTTTGGGAGTATCAAGGTGTCAATGAAAAATTAACTAATTATTCCTTACTATGAGATTCTCCTATTCCCTTCTAAACCTCACATTTTTTGGAGTTTTTGACGAACGTGCATTGTTGTTTATCCCTCTTCCTCATGTGTTCGTGATAGTTTATACCCTACATTACACTTGCTGAACCAACCATGTCTATTAATTAATTTATTTTTTCATTATCTCATGTTTGAAAGTGTTAAATCCTAGCCTCTCGTCTCCATATGATCCCATAGCCACAAATAGGGATCCATGGAAGCTCGTCTAAATCACGCTAATTATCTTCCATAGTTAGGTAGTTGATTTAGGAAGAAATATACGAGGGCAATAATGTCTGATTTTGTAATTTAGTTATTTCTTTATTTAAACATTCTATATAGATATATAAATTGGGATGAAATTATGTATTAGAGGAGAAGTTTTTCCCTCTCAAATTCCTGAATTCGACATAGTATCAGAGCCACGTTTAGTTATTGCCAAATCTTCATAAGAATATATACGAAGGAAGCAGAGAAAGTGGCCTGCATTGCCGCGACTGTCGCCAGATCGTTGTCAAGGGTATACGAAGGAAACAATGAAGACAAGGCGGCCTTCATTTTTGTTAATGAATGATCGTCGAGCAGTCCAAAACTGTTCTATTCCTTTCGGCTCTCCATGCGTACCTGAACAAGCCTCTAAGCGCGTGATTCTCGCGACCGTCGAGCAGGTCAAACTTCTCTTTCCTCTTCAGCTCTCCCTGTATGCCCTAGCTACCTTTGTTACGTGAGTGTATTGAAGGCGGTGCCCTAGTTACGTGGTGGTTCCGAGGACGAGCTTCACTCGAGCGAGCTTCTAGAACAGCGGCTCGTTCAAACTCACATGATTGTGTGATTTCAAAGTCTCCCACGTTTGAACACCATGCGATTAAACGAGTCAGCCCGGTGTATATAGGGGTGTTAATTTCGGGTCATGGGTTGGGTTTAGGTTGAACCCGGAACTGACCCGATACTATTCGGGTCAACCTGAATCCGACCCGTTTTTACAAACGGGTCGGTTTTTCGGACCCAAACCCAACCCGCTTTGGGTTCAGTCAACCCGACACGACCCAAAAGCGTGTGCTAGACATGGGCGGTAGGACGCCAGAGGCCGGACACTGGCGGTCGAACAGCTGGACCTGGAGGTCCTGAACACGGGCACAGACCTGGGCTGGACGCGACAAGCTGGCTAGCTGGGCTAGCTCGCACGCGGACAAGAACACGGTCACGCGAACCTCGGGACACAACGGTGGGCACCTGCTTTCGGCTCGACAATGTGATTGGCCACAGGCTGACGGGCAGCGGCGGGCAAGCAGGGCAGTGGTGGGCAGGCGTGGTCACGGTTCACGCGGCAGCTCGGTCCGCGGGCAAGCGCTGGGGGGGGGG